GATCGAAGAGAAATAAGGGTCGATCAAAGTAGAAAATGCGCAGGTAATATTGAGCACAGAGAAAAGCTTTTTAAAATTGTCGCAACTTTAGGTAGCAGTAACACTTCTTTCAGCAAACAGCAAATAAACCAATCGGCAAGGCAGTGCGATGCGGACTGGCCAAAAAGCCATCATTTTACGTTCCCTACTTTATAATATTTACATTTTAGCAAGTAAATCGATTTGAAGCATGTGGATACATTCTACAATGATACATTTACGATTTTCATAGACATGGGTGATTGAAAATTAAATATAACGTTACCAAAATTATATAAATAATGGAGCAATGTCAACCCTTATTGGGGGGAGATATTTTGCCTAAAACATATATTTGATTTAAATATCTTAGGAGTACACTTAGATACACGGCAAATGAGAACAACCCAAATTTGAGTTGAGTTCACTCATAATCGCCAAAAAAGCAGGAACTCAGCGATGAGTAAATTTGTCTCATGGTTTTCTGTGGAAAATCTTAAAAATCTGCCGGATAATGAGAAAATTGCCAAAATCTTTATTCAGTCTCGGAGTAGCACCAAAAGACTGAGTGAATCCAATCTTTACTTTTTTCAAATTCAGGAATTTTTCCCTGCAAAATTCTGGAAAACCTGGGAAAACATGAGACAAATTTTACTCATCGCTGAGTTCCTGCACTTTTGGCGATTATGAGTGAACTAAACTCAAATTTGGGTCGTTCTCATTCGCCGTGTATGATCATAATGTAATTCGTTACTCAAATCCAGTGATGGAAAAAATCAAGAAAATACAAAATCAGGAACGGTCGAAAATCACTGCTGACCTTGAGATCAGCTAAATCACAAACATAAAATCACGGCGGATTTTATCTAAGCTGATCTTGAGAGTAGCAAAATGACAAGGCAGAAAATCAAGGCTGATTTTAACCTTAGCTGATTTTGTGGCAACAAAAACCAAACGGAAAATCAATAGATTGGTATTACAGTCAAAATAAAAATCCGACATCCACCGCCATTTTGGAATTCAAGATGGCGGACCAAAATCCAATATGGCGGCCCCGAACAGGGCATATTCATCTAAACCCATGCAATATGGGCATCTACGGAATGGGCTCGATGAGGGGGAGTGAAAAATTGACATCCGCCGCCATTTTGGAATCCAATATGGCGGACCAAAATCCAATATGGTGGCCTCCGGACTAGGAATATGCATTTAAACCCATGCAATATGGGTATCTACAGAATGAACTCGATGAGTGGAAGTGGAAAATTTACATCCGCCACCATTTTGGAATCTAATATGGTGGCCCCTGGACAGGGAATATTCATCTAAGCCCATGCAATATGTGTATCTATGGAATGGGCTTGATGAGGGGAAGTGGAAAATTAACATCCGCCGCCATTTTTGAATCCAGGATGTCAGACCAAAATCCAATATGGTGGCGCCCGGACTGAGAATATGCATATATGTTTAGATGCATATCCCCTGTTCGGGGATATGTACAAAATGGCGGCTGATGCCAATTTTCCCCTTCCCCTCATCGAGCCCATTCCGTAGATACCCATATTGCATGGGTTTAGATGCATATTCCCTGTCCAGGGGCCGCCATATTGGATTTTGGTCCGCCATCTTGGATTTGTGGGGGCCATCTTGGGTTGAAATCCACCATTTTAATTTCATCCGGAATGTTGACTTGAATTTCGGAATTGCCCAAACTCTAGAATTTCACATATCTTCTAATCCTATGATTTTCGATGATTTTGATCTTGGTTGATATTGATGCTGGTTGATTTTGAGAATCGAAAATCACGGCTGATATTGGTGGAAAATCACGTGTGATTTTCGTGGTGATGATGGCTTGTGATATTGGTGACAGTGATTTTAGGTGATCTTGATCTTGAAGATTGCTGATTTAGATTTTCTGATCTTGATTTTAGCCAACACTGCTCACATCTATCGACGCAAAAATGTGCTCAAATATTGGTTTTCCTGTGGACAACACTAGTCAAATAACTCGTTAATTTTCTGCACGTCTTTCTCTAAGAGTTGAAGCAACTTATTCTTGTGATTATTTTAAAATATTTGCAGTAGTAAACATTTTTCATTTATGGCCCATTGTCATTTCCAGGCCCAATGTCACTCTGACTGGTGATAGTCTGCGAATATATTTGAGAATAATGGTCACTAATTTTCCAGGAGAAAGATCTTTTAGAAAAATAACTTTGATTTAATGCAAATTGAGGTAATTGTTTGCACTGGCCATTGAACTTGTTTTGTTTATTGCACATAAAAGTGACAATTTGGGTTTTATGAAGGTTCTGTAGAGCATGATTTGGACTTGTAGAATGCTTTAAAACCTTGATAAAACTTGCAATGCTACTTGGGTAAGGAGCTTGATTTTCATGTAGACGTGAATGCTTTATGTGTGGGTTTAAATGTACCATAACTTTCTTTGATTTTCTTTTAATTAATTAAAACTAGCTTCAATATTTTTAACCTAAAAATTGTAATTGTTAAATATAACCGTACATTTAAAATTCAAACATCTAAAGCAGTTAACTGTTTGGACCAAAAACTGAAAATGAAGTTGATTTTTTTTTCAAATGATGTTTCTCTAATTCCACTTTATAATGTTTTTTTATGTCGGTGGATGGAAATTTAGTAGTTCAGTTGTTTACGCTTCCTATTTTTCATCACACCGCAGAATCCAAATTATTTTTTTTAGCAAAAGTTTCTAGTGCCCATCCCCATTTTAAGTAGTTCAATTAAAAATTAGCTATAAACCATTCTATTAGTTATTTAAAAACAAAAAGTGTGAAACATATGTATGGGGTAATCAATCAGTCCCAGGTAACAAATTGATGCTTAACAAGTGTTGTTTAATCGATTTTAATTAAGCCTTAGTTTGAATAATTGCTGTATATAGACCACGTTACCCTTTGTTCAGCTTTTAAACATCTAAATCTGGTGATTTTAATCAGCCAAAAGCTTAACAGTAATAAACATTATAACAGTCTCTTTCAACCCTTGTTCAGCCCTCTAGTTTTATTTCAAAAATAATAATGGAAGACCGCTTCGTATCTTATGCATTTATATGAAACTGCTTTAACTTGTTGCTGACTTATTGGATTTACATATTTGTATTGTTAATATAAGTCTAAATATTACCTTTGCATTTTGGGATTCGAACCGGCAGTCGCTGATTCACAAGCGTCTACCATACCTACTGGACCATTTGAGCATATGTGTGGCAAAACCCTAGTAGCACACATGTCACTGAACAGTTGTGGTTACTAGTATGTGACTTATTTCAGTCACAATCAAGTTGTAGCAACTTATTATGATGGACTTGTGTTGCCTGGGAAGGTATGAGCATTAACTTGAAGCACGTCAAATTTAAGTTGAATAACAGTGAAAATTTCCTCTCATTTTTAAGTGCAGTTAACACAATGTGGACACAAGTGCGTAATTGATTTCGATGGCCATTTGGATGCTATTTTAGTGCCATAATTGAGTAATTTTTTTTTGGAATGCGGTCTGAAACTTCACTGCAATATAACAGACAAAACACAGGTTACAAATGTATACGTCCGACGTGGTCGCATTTTTTTTTTAATTCTTTATTAAAGAGATCGTCGTCACAGCCCACATCTACCTGTAGCTATTCCTAAAAATCTCCTTTTCCTTGTCTCTACTGCTGCCACTGCTTGTAATTAGAAAGATTGAATTTAGTAGAACTAAAATGCCGGACATGCAACGAGTGACACAGACACTGACGACATTTAATAAATCAAACTGTCAAAATATGTGTAACGCATTGCTGATTTATGGAGTTGTGTTAAGCTTAAATAAGCCTTGTTCAATCTTAGGGTCAGCTAACTTATTGAGGTTGGATTATGGGGATACAATTCGCTTCATGCACTACTAATCAACTATATATTCAGCCTGATGTTAATCAGCTTTGTACACCTTAAATCAACCAGTAATCAGCTTCTGTTCTTAATGTTCAGCTTAAACTGTTACTTGGGTACCGATGCCCAGGAGGCAGCTCTCACAGCTGGACCCAACCTAGCGACCCATCAACTCATGAACCGGCTTTACTTCGCTTCGAAAGGAAGGCATGGTCAGAGATGTTATGCCTCATAAAATCCCGGCGGTGACGACTGAGATTGAACCCAGACCCTTTGGGGTGAGAGGTTATCATGCTTACCACTGCACAACCAGCGCCACTAGCGTTCTGGAAAAATTACCCGCTTCCACAAATAATACCCATCATTCGTGCACTTGAATACAAGTGGCCTTGGACTTCATTTATGCTTGTACTGTTTGCCTCTAGGGTCGCAGCGTCCATTTTCACCACCTCTTCATGCAGCGCCACAATCATTTCCACTGTTGCCATAATGATGCTGTCCATCTATACACCTCCAGCCATCCCATCCTGCTTTTGATCGTCGTCCACTTGCTTTTCTTGCTGCTTCGGGAAAGAATTCATCAGGTCTCCCTCAACCTTGCATAAGAAACATTTGTTTTTAATGCCGTCCTATAATGTGCTCCACGTCCAATTGAGTCCATGCATACGCCCTTGTACGCCTGGATGCAAGTCGATGCCCAACTCAACAGCTGAATTTCTTTTTTAGAACAACGCGTCATCTAGACAATACCAACGGATACTTTTGGTTGCTAGTTGAAGATTGGCAAAAAAAAGCTATCCTTCGAAATGCATGTATGGAAGCACTATAAGGGACACTTCGGCTAACATTAGGAACGTTAACCTTATATGTATAAATGTGACGATAGGGTAACTAATTTAGCTGTGCTACACAGAAAAAAAACTCTGAATTTTAACCAACGCGTAAATATCCTCTTTCCTGAAACTGTTTACAACCTTGCATACAAAATTGCACGAAATATCATGTAAATTTAGCTATCGTAGAAATTAACATGAATTTTTCATAAGGTGTACAATATTGTGCTTTGCTTCTTACCTTGCTGCAAAAGAGCTCCGTAAATATACCAGAAGCAGTTGTATAGCTTGCCCAATCCGATTGTATTGGATCTTCCATGATGCTCGTAGAACGGACTCAACCGATTTACCACGTACAGGAAAGGTCCCATGAGAATTACCGTTGCTGTTAAGCATAACCAGGTCTGGAAATTATTCGAAATTTGCATTAGCTTAGCTCCATTGCATTAACCTGCTTAGAGGAATAATTCATCTTACGTCAACAGTAAATGGTGATAGAAATAGAAAGACTCGACTCAATTCCCTGCAAAACAAATATCAAATTTGTGTGAACAAATTTACAACCTAAACAGAAAAAAGAAAACCTACTTCGGCCGCGATACGATAAAGCTATACGTTTGAATGCTGATGGGTGTAGTAAAGTTGATGTACTTCTTCTGCTTAGGACTTACGCTTGCACCAATGGCTGCCAAAAGAATCTGCGAAATGTTGGCAACATTTTTGAAAATATTGGTTCCAATCTTCAATCGCAATTTCGTTCCCTTACCTTATTATCAATGAGTGATCTCAAGATCTCCGAAGGAATATCGGTCGTCATCGAATGAACGTCTCTGCCAATCTGTGATGCGATACTTTGAAATCAAAATACCATCGACAAACAATCAAGTTAACTCACCGTATTGTTAGCATCCTCGGTTCCATTCAAAACGTAATCCAAATTGGTCTGGGCGATCATGACCGTAAACGTAAAGTTCAACTTGCTCGACAGCTCGGTTAGAATGTCCATCACTACTCCGCGGGACAGAACAAGATGGCCACTCTCATTGTAGGACACAAACTGCCACGGTGGGTTCTACACACGACCGATAAACTATAAACTATGCCAAACTAAGTAGCTAAACCAAGGTCACTCACATGATAGCTGTAGAAATTCAAATGAATTCCTCGGAATCCATTTGCCACGTGAGGAAAGAGAAAATCCTGCATTACGATACCATCCTGTGGGGTCCAGTAGCCAACGTCCAGCAGGGAGATCTTCCGCTTGTGAATACTCACGGCCTCCGCCAGTAGTTCATCTTGTACAAACGAAGCTTGGTTGATTTTAAGAAATTGCAGAACCATCTTGAAACTTACCAGCAGAAGACTGATACGTGTAGCCCCAGGTTTCGCCAGCTTCAACCTTCCACATGGAGCATTCGTTGCAGCTGTCCTTTCCGATGAGGTCACTCTGAAAATTAATCATTCAACGTCAGGTTCCACAAAAGTAGACTCCTTAAGCATACTCTCATGATCTTCAGTATCTCATCCTTCCGTTCGGCCTTGGTCATCCGGATTACTTCCCACTCTTCATCGGCAATCTGCCCGTAGACAGCTTTCTCCTCCCGAATCAGCTTCGACAGTCCATGCACCAACGAAGTGACCATATTCTCCACGTAGCAAAGAATGTGCGACTCGCAGGACTGAGCATTTCTCCGGAGATTGTAGACGAACGCAATGTTGTCCCCCTCGGAGATGATTGGGTGCACTCCGGAGATGTTGTTCTTCTCGGCTGAGGTATCCGATACGATGTACAGCCACTGGGACAAGGGGTTCACCATTTGCAGTTCCTACCGTGAATTGAATTTAACCTTAATCGTACATCATTATGTCTTTTGAACAATCCATACCTTAGCGATCTCCATGATCAATTCCATGGTATGTGTTGTGACAATTGCTATGAAGTTGGTTCCTGTCGATGAGAGTTGTAAGTAATTTGCGGGAATTTTAGGGTCAACTCGGTTACCAATGTATCTGGTAGGTAGATCAACCAGGACCTTGCGGATTGCCTTGCGCCTCTCCCACATGTGGGTGTGAGTCTCGATCCGGAACAGCGACAACGAAAGGGGCTTGACATCTTTGGATTCCTTAGATAGGGCGAGTACACTGTGGGCTATGATGTCACGATCTTTAGGAAAGATGTGCAACAGTAAGTGAGATGTTACTTTAAATAATTTAGAATTTGAAATTCGTTAAGGCTTTCTTTTTATTGAATTTGTGTATCACAATTTACTCCAAATTTGGCCAGCTAAAACTGGAATTCTAAAGCAAACAACCCTAGTAATTAGCAAGCCCGATATGATATTGCTATAAGGGCAATTTGCGGAAAATTAACGGGCTTGGTGGCTAATTTGGGTACGGTTTAGGGATGCCAGATTATAACACATGACTTCATTATGAAGACATAGGGGAAATGGCTCTAATGTTGGCCTATGTATCTAAGATTGGGCCCATCGCTAAAAATCTGCTATTTATCAATTTTATCTAGCTGAATGGTGTCATTGGGACGGTACTTATGGATATTTTTGGTTGCTATTGAAAATTTAGTCGATTGCTGAACTTATGTATGGGCCCAAATTAGGGACACTTAGGCCGACATTACATACATTTTCCCTATATGAAATTCAGATAATACCGAAACTCGCTGCATTACAAAGGACCAGGTAATAGACGCCACTAATTTACTATGCGAGGAAATTAATCTCTAACATATACTGACTTCTTCTTCCTCTTAGTCTTCTTATTCTTTTTCGTCTTCTCCTTCTTATTCTTCTTCTTCTTCTTCTACACATTTCAAGCTTATTGCTTATCACATATTAGCTTATCCCGTGCTCCCAACTTAGTATTTTAGATGCACTTCAACAGTTATTCACTGAGAGCTTTCGATGCCTGTACAATTTTTGCATTCGTATAAAGACTGTAACTCGAAAAAAAAAAATCAACAGACAAAAGTTATCACTAAAATTCATTTTAAGTCGGATATTTTTGAAACTCACAGGGCAGGGTTGACCTAAATGCTCCTAGTTCGGGCACATACATAAATTCAGCAATCGAATAAATTTTCAATAGTGACCAAAAATATCCATAAGTACCGTCCCAATGACGCGATCATCTAGATAAAATTGATAAATAGCAGATTTTAAGCGATGGACCCAATCTTAGATCCATAGGCCATGGTTCTAATTGCCCTATTAGCTATATTTTTGCAAAGTTGTTTTATTCAACCTCCTCTCCTTGCGCCATCTTTCGTACACACTTTCATCCACTCTTTCTTCAAATCCTTGTCGTTTTTGAAAATCTTCCCTGTTTTCCGGAGCTTGTCCTTCATAATCGCCCAGAACTTTTTTATAGGGCGAAGTTCTGGTGAGTTTGGCGGATTTGCCTCCATCGGCACAAAAACAACGTCGTTGGCTTCGTACCACTCCATCACCGGTTTCGCTTAATGGCACGATGCCAGATCCGGCCAAAACAGAGGGTCACCTTCGTGGAACCGGAGGAAGGACAGCAGGCGCTTCTGGAGGCATTCCTTTATACATATATTTAGCCGTTGATGGTGTCGGTCGTTATGTACAGCTTGCTGAATTTGCCGCACCCACAGATCGCCTGCCACACTAAGTACTTCTTGGCAAATTTGTCGACCTACTTCTTGCCGAACTTCTTCGGAACATCCAGCCGAAAAACTCCAGGCCGGGGATCTGCTTGGCGTCTGCTTTAATGTACATCTCATCGTCCATTACGACGCATTTCGGCTGCACCAACCACTCTTCCTAGATTCCTAGCTTCCTAGCGCGGGATTTGGTCACCTTATTATGCTTATCGGTTCGGGTAGGCGCCTTCCTTAACTTGAAGACACGAAGTCCTGCCCGCTTCATTGCCTGCTGGACGAACGAGACGGAAGAATTGACCTTCTTGGCCTTGTCCGGAATCGAAAGGTTCGGATTGCGCTTTAAGTAATCGCTCACCTTCCTTGCGTTCACGGGGTCGGTCGTCTTCGCTTTTCTTCCGCTGCCAGCTCGCCGCTGGGTCATCTGGGTCTCCTTGAACGATTTTCGAGTACAATCTTTAGTAGGTTGGGGTTTCGTCTCAAGTTAGTTTGCACTAGGATTGGGCGATCTTCAGAGAAAGATCGATCTTGACGGATCGATCTTATATTTGGCTCTAGAATCGATCCACTGATTAAATCGGTACCAAAGAATCGATCTTTGGTAGATCGATCTTTTATTTTTTTTTAATACGCTTGTTTACGTTGGTACCCAAGAAATTATTTCCTCTATAATATTCAATTGAATCATCGGCCAGAAATTTTTCTTTGAATAAAATACACGCAAAGCAACGAGAAAACGAAAACAAAGAGGAAATGAACGTCACAATTGCTCACTGTCAATGTGTGTATCAATTCAGATCGGTTGCCAGCAAAGTACACGGAGAAACCGATGGGCGATCAACTTCATAAATCAGCTGAATTGTAAATACACACTTCGGAAAATACACAAATAATACGTAAATGTGTACACACTGAAACTAAAATACCCTAATTTTTACTCAAAAATACCTCGAAAATACTTCGTACACGAAAAATACATTTCATAATGAATTTAATACACTTTAATACAAAAATACACAAAACTTAAAAATACATAAATATGAAAAAATACAAAATACACCTTTTCAAATCAGGTAGATGAATCGAAAATACTCAAGTTGATAGCCCCTCGGGAGAAACATAATGATACACTGATGATTCAAGTTGAATCATTTTCAAGAAAAACGGATCGAAGAAAAACAACTCATAATGAAAAATGCATGTTTAACAATTTTTGAGCAGTTTTTAGTCATGAATGATTAATCAATTAAAATGTATTATTCTGTTTCTCCGTGTAGACAAAATGTGATGGCAAGGAGCAATGAGTACAGGAGGGAGATAGCAAAAACCTTGAAATATTGCTGTATTCGTAAATATTGAAAACGCAAATAGTGTCGTCATTGTAGTTCAGCTAATGACACCGACGAACCGACGTGATGCGCTCATGCATTTGAATTAAGAATTCTTGCGTTAAACACTACCGTCATCTACTCATTCGATCACGTCATATCATGAACAAGGACACGAACACACGTAGAATTTTATATAACCTTGGTTTGCGTCTCACCTCGTTTGAAAGACCTGATCGCCCGTTTGACAGATAGAATTGCTCGTTTGACAAATCGAATTGTGGACAAACTGCGGCATATCGGTTCGTCGGTGCTAATTACATAGGGAGTGATGCTGATGTTGAGGTATGTTCGTTAAATTTACCCCGCAGTCTGCACTGAACCAAAACAGCGGCAATACTTCGAATGATTATTGCATTGCTCGAGCCCTTTATCAATATGCATTTGAATTTCGGATGATATTCTTATGGTTGAATTCGTCGTCTGATGATGAACACCCATATGACTGTCATCCAAATACAGGATGATTTTCGTTTGAAAATTAGCTTTGAAACATACGGCACTCAGAGGACAAACATTTAATAATAGTGTGACATGAAAGTGCTTTTAATTAGATTTATAATTTGATTATCTACAATTCCATACTGAATAGCCAAAATAAGCCATTCCATTATGGATACAAAAAAATTTCGTGGTGGAGAAAACCTCCTCCACCAAGAAATAGCCAAACATTGGTTTTCATCTTTTACTTATGTTCCTAACAGCTCTGATATCGATGCATATGCTTCCATCTCGTTTGTCAACTCAGATCAGCAAATGACGTTCGATAGAATTATTTACATCATCGTTTTGAATGATTTGCGTTATGGGGCTAAACCAATACCATATGCATTTCCATTTAGTATGACAGTCATTCTGCAGAGAGTATTACGTATTTCAACTGAAGGCCCTATCCCTTCTCATAACAAGTTTCATCCTGTATTGGAGAGGAAAATCATCTGATTTCAAGACAACCGTCATCCGGTTGCAGCTATCATTCGAAAAAGCGATTTCGGTGTTTTGTTTTGAATGGTAAATCGTTTTTTGATGTAAATACACTCAAAAAATTTAACACCATTTTTTTTTGAAGATCGAAAATATCGAAAGAAAAAATCGATTTTTTCAATCTTTTCGTGGACAAAGAATCGATCAAAAAAAAATCGGAAATCGGGATTAAAAAGATCGATCGATCCAAGATCTCCCAATCCTAGTTTGCACACATAAAACGTACGATGTGTAGAGCGAAAAGATAAGCTTACGGCACTTGTTACACGTCAAGTGAAAGCTACGTTTATTATCCAGAGAACGATATCGCCGTAATCTACATTGCGAAGCATTTCGATTGCGTTTTAGTTTTCGTAGCAATGCAGTGCTCCAGGTAGGTCGACGAATCGGTACATTTGCATCCATCCAATCATTTAGTATAACACACAACGTTTCACGCATTTCATGAGCATTCATTCTATCGAAAAGAATATCCCAGTCGATACTCGATACGGAAATCCAATAAAGCATCGAAACCTAACTTGTTGTAATCTAACGCAATTTCATCACTGTCATTCGCATCATGCAGCTGTACACCATTGTCAGTGCAGAAATGGTAAACAGACAACAAGCGGTGGATGATGAAGGTCTACTGACAAAAGCTGTGACACATATCTTGAGATTTCCATAGCAAAATCCGTAGGACAAAAGAGTAAATCGAGAATGCGTCCCAACTGGTTGCGCTCGAGATTCATCTGATGGAAATTGAGGAAATCAATGCCATCAATCAGAAGTGAGCAAGCAATTGGTAATGACACAGAGTTCACAAATTTCACCGTCAGATCAGTTCCAAAACACACCACGTTGATTAGAGTCACCGCAGACCAGCATGCATTCGTTGTCAGCTATCCAGAAATCTTTTCAGAAATATTGTTCCATACTAGGATTTCAGCACACTTTAAAATTATCCAGTTTATAGAAAAATGTTCTATATTCAGTCCATAATCTCTGCAAAATTTTCAAAGTTAAAGAACTCCATATTTCTACCCTGCAACTCAACGTATCATAAAACATTTTAATATAATTCTACTGTCTCTGAGTCGGAGTCGGAGTCAACAGACATATGTTTGAGGAGTCAGAGTTAGAGTCGGAGTCAGAAAATTGTTCACCGAC